CGTCCAAAAAGACTTGTATCGTACGCAGCGCATGCAGCAATTAACCAAGAATAGGATCGCCTTGAACAGCAAGGGGTGATATAGAAAGTTGAATATTCGAATTGGGCAGCGCCGATAGTAGTAGTGAAAAAGGCCAATGGCAAAATACGTATGTGTGCCGACTTTTTAACAGGCTCAAACGAAGCACTGGAGTTGCATCAGTACGCGCTGTTGGTTCCAGAGGACATATTCGCAATCCACTTTTACTTTTTTTTTGCTACTGGCATCTTACTCCTACCCCTACTTCGGCCATCTCCGTCTCTTCGATGGTTGCAACTTCAGCCATTTTCCCCTCAATCTATATGTTTCATTTGCTATTCTTCCGCATAGATGATATCTTCCCCTTCCCTTTTTCCGCCACATGCCCATACTTTTTGGTCAGATTTGACTAGATCCCGACCGTTCGATAACTTATACAGTCTACCGACCAGCCGTTCACTTATTTGCTGCTACTTCAGGTTCTCCATTTCACCTGACATGCCTACTACCCCTACAGCATATACGGCCGCTACTTGATACTAACTTCAAGGTGATCCATAATTAGGATGCTGTCTAAGCTGGTTTTTCTCTCCCGTTGTTTTATAATGTCGCTTTTTCTCATGTAGCTTTTCTTTTCCGTCCCCCTTTCTGTTTGCCCCTCCTTATCTTTATCATATTCTTTCTTATTTCCCTCCCCCCTCGCCTCCTCCCTCCTCTTTCCCCCCTTCCCCAACACCCACCCTTTTGCGCCTTCTGGCGTGCTATTACTCAGGTTGGCTTGAGCCACCCGTGTGTCAATTTGGCTTGGTAGTTGTTACCGAGCCTTGTCTAAACTGGATGCTAATGTGTTGGGAGAGGCTGGACCTCTCCCGGATACTTCTCCATTATACTCTTCCCTTCTTGCTCGCTCTCTTATTGCATCCATCTTTTACGAATTACTTTGCAGGGTTTACGCAAGCAACTCGAGTAACTAAAAGATGCCGTTAACCGCCAAGATATCCGTATAACCGAGAATTCGCAACGCATTGAAGTCAACGAGCGTATTGCCCGCTCATTCAGCGTGCGCATTTTCGGCTTCAGTTTCAGTAAATGCCGAACGGAGACGCGTGAGAACGACGGCGCTACCAT